TCCGAGATTCGACGAGATGATTCCGTCGGGGTTGCGTTGGAATTCCGTCGGTCGGAGCTTTTTATCCGATGAATTGTTGGTTCAACGGCGGCCAGGGTAATCGGTGCATGAATATTTTGTGAACTCGATTGGATCGACGTTGACATCCAATTAAGACGAGCGATTTATGCGCGACGCGATTTTGATATTTATGCGGACACTCGTGGGTAATTTGTGTGCCCGCGGAAATTAGCTGGAAGTCAAGGTTTATTTGCGGGGAGCATTGCTAGACCGGATTGCGGAAGATTTACACTCCTCGCACGCGCGTGGAAATATGGTTTCTGCCGGTACACCGTGTTCGAACGTTTCATTGGTTACTGTGTTTTTCATGAGTTTCCTTTCGATCGAGCGTGCTTGAACACGACGCGCAACTTCAATTGAACGTTGCTTTTGAAGCGTAGCTTCGAAGGTTGCTTTCGAGAAGAATATCGCTTCGTTGTAACTAACCATGGAACAATAGTTTCGTTCGCTTGTTTTCTTAAATATTTCATTAAAAATGAAGAATTTAAAGAAACTTCTTCAGTCGAACGGTGTCTTATTTTCTTTCATAATTAAATTGAAGCAATTGATGTCTCGCGACGGAGATTCCTAGATTAATTCAACAAAACTAAATGTTGTTCATCACCCACGGATTAAAGCAAAAAATTATTTTCCTATTATCAATTTATTATCTTCAAATGAAACTTCCACTTAAAGTAGAATATAAAATTTTGTTGCATTCCCAAACTGTCGATAGCAAAATGTTACACGAGCTCAATAGCGAAAGTAAATGATACGTCAAGGGGTTAATAGATCGATCGATAGAATCTTAGCTGAAAACTAAACATACGGTTTCTCGGTTTTAATCATTCATAGAGAAATTGCCACGTTATGGAAATCGGGCGTCAAAGATTTCTTACAGATTTTGAAAACATTTGTTTCTGGTGCTGATTAAATTTCGAGCTCCTCAATTGAAAATTCATATTGAACTCACGGCATTTCTTTCATTCCCGATACCTTGGCTCAGTCTCCCGAACCGGCTTCAAAGGGGACACTCTGATTGCTTTGAACAGACCACTCGAGTCTTCCAATAAAATTCACGGTCCTCCTTTTTCTTCGTGTGCCCCTCAGTGTCGCGCGAGGATTTAAAATGAACGCCGCAGTTGGAGATTGTCGTTTCGCCGAGGACCAGATGGGGGATGGTGGTAGTTTTTCGGTCCCCCGGATCCCATTTCCATGATAATGTCATTTTTATTCGCTACTTAAAAGAACCTATCAAGCATAATTACAATTTTTATACTACAATCTTTATACCCCCGTATTTTACATGCATTAACCCGTCGCTTTATGATTCTCCCTTTACGATTAGGCTACCAACACCCGCTTCATCATCGATAACCAAGCAGAAAAAGAGAAAGTTATCGTAGAATTCTTTCATTCTTCGTTAAATCTTTTGTAAAAGATACATATTCATAACAGGAACACAATGTTTTCATTAACACTAGAATTTACGGACATTTACTGTAGTTTGTTGTATTGTTCTTAGAAAAATTGTTATCCTTACGTTTAGATCTTAGAAATTAGAGGTCTAAGAGTAGACAATTAGAATGCATATTTGCATAACTTAATAAAAATCGACCCATTTACCAAATAATACTTATAAAATTCAGTATGAGTCAAATTAACTTGTTCCGTGAATCTAGTGTCGATTCAACATAGATCAACCCTTTGCACTAGTCATATAGTCACCATTTTGTCTGATACATCAAAATTATAAAATTCCATATTCAATATCATATTCAATTCTAATATCCATTCGTATTATTTTCACTCGACAGTAAACTAGAAATTAAATACTAAAATATAAAGCAAATACTTAACCGTAGAATAATATAATATAATCGACATTTCATTAAAAAATATTGAATACACCCAACGAAAAGCAGTTCGGCCGCTAATAAACCTCCCCGCTCAATTTACCCCGAAGTTTCTGCGACGAGTTTGATTCCGTATCATAAGCCGGCGGTTAGACGGAACGGTTGGCGAAGACTAATTGAAATAATTAGCCCGTAGAAGTTTGCGTTTCGGTACCGTTGGTTCCAGTAATTTTTAATGCAGCCTAAATTGCGGATGTCAGGTGTCTCCGATGAGTTATCGTGAAATGCGGTTCTCTAATTGCGTCGGAGGAAAAAAAAACCTCGAACGGAGCACAAGGGACCACGGGGCCGGAGGGGCGCAAACGTTCAAATTAGAAACTGTTCTCATTCACGTGCACGGAACGGCAGAAAGTGTCAGATCGATCAGAATTTACGTAAATAGAATTCACCGGCACGCACGCTGAATGAGTTCGGAACACGGCTGAAGTTCCCGCGGAGAGCGAAACTTCTTTCTCGCCCGTTTCGATTTATTTTGAGACCGGTCGAACGATGATCGATGCCTCGAGTTTTCGATTCTTTTCGCGTGCCGCGGCCGTCTTGTTTTTATTATTAGAACGCGCGACGCGGGACAGGCAACATCGGAACCGAGGAATTTTTGTAATTTCGGCTCGGGCGATCTCGTTATCTTCGTCGGTTCATCCTTGCTGTTTTGTTTCACGGATTTATCGGCTTATCGATTCTGGACCAAATGAATTTCTCGAGAAAGCTGCGGTATTTCTCGATAGATACGTGAATGCGAGATTGGATGGCAGTTGCATTTTTCTTGTTTATTCCGGATTAAATATTAGGTGAATTGGCACTGGTGTTTTTAACATAAACTACCGAGCAGTTAGATTGAGTTTTTGGAATTTTTCTGTGGAAACTTTAATAATGAGATTCTATCTCCATCTATTGAGATTCAAATTGGTTTACAATTCAGTCTGTGTATTGATAAATCAATTTCTGTAATAATTTCTCGGAGAAACTCCTGTTATCTTTTTGATAATTGCGAAATGAAGAAATTAGGAATGGGCTATTTTGATTCTAACGGTAGTTTTAGTGTTAATAGGGAATTTAGTGTGGAATTGAGTGGTCTGTATTTTGATTTTACGTTTGAAGGAAGGAAATGGTTCTTGTTCGGTGTCATTTGCGACGGGAGTAGTAGACTATAAGTCAGTGTGCATGTGGGTCATCTAATGTGTAAAAATAGAGTACTCCAGATAAGATGCGACTTATTGTGTGTTGTGCACTTTCGTATGTTTCTTTCCTCGGTTTGTTTGTATCTCTGATTGAACTGAAGTTTATCATTCACATTAACAGTAAAACTACCGTGCAGTTAAATTGACTTTTTGAAACTTTTCTATAGAAACTTTAAGAGTGAATCTATTGAGATTTTAATTAATTTATAATTCAGTTTGCTAAATAATTTCTTGAATAACTTCTCAGAACAACATCTGTTATCTTTTTAATAATTGGGAAAAAAGGAGATCAGAAATGCGTCATTTCGATCTGCCAGGTAGTGTTAGTGTTGATTAATTTTGTTAATTAATTTTAAACGAGAGATTGAGTTTTGAAGTAATGGAATATTATTTCCGG